AAGTAAAGCACTCAAGAGATAGCGTTGATTTTCAATTCTTATTTTATTTTATCCTATTTTCAAAAATATTTCTAATATTTAAAAGATAGCGCTGGCTAGTCAATTCTTATCCTATTCTTCTATTATTTTTTCTTTATCTATATTTGTATTTAATTTATAGCATTCTAGAAATGATATTAATTTGAGCTCAAGAGATTGATTAATTTTATTATCTTCTTTACCTAACCTATTGATTAAAAATCTTAATAAAATCTATTAAATTTAATTTTTATTATCTTAATAATTTTATATTATTTTACATTATGTAATTTTTATATTATTTTTATTATCATATTTATTTATCACAGACAAAATACAATTATTAATTCTATCATGATATGTGATCAAGTTAACGGCGGAATCTATCATATCGATATTTAGATAAATCATTAAAAGCAAATTTTAAAAATTTAATTTATTTTGTTTGCATAACGCTTTACATTTAATTATGGATAAATATTTAGTGCAAATATTACAAAATATCTTAGAGATAAATACCTTATAATATTCGTATAAATATATCTAATTTAAATTTGTTATATATAAATTATTGCATTATTAAATTGCATAATTAAACAATTTTTGCATTTGTGTATATATTATATTATCTTATATTATATTATATTATCTTTTTTGCGGAAGCAAAATACAAAAAGAATCATTTTCTTGAAAATGAGAAAATGAGATTTTCTTTCGCATGAAGATTTCAATGCTGTTATCTTCCATTTTTCTTTTTTATACTTTCTTTTTAGAATTTTACTTTTCGATCACAATTTAGAAAATATAGATGTCGCAATAAACATATATTGTTTTGTTACGCCATCTTTCTCTATAATAGGGAATTTCTTTGACAAAACTGACAACACAGTTACAGAATAACATTACATCTAGTCAGAGACGAAAGGGTGTTTGATTTGAGAAAATTTGTGAGGTTATTTTTATATAGTACCTTGAATTATAATCTCAAAACATTAAGATCAATAAAATCATTAAGTAAGTATATTTTATTCACTTATTAAATTATAAAAAAATTATAAAATTATTATTCTAATTTTTCTAAAAGTGTCTTATTGTCATTATTTTCAAATTTTAGTTACAAAATGAAGAGATCGCGTTCTACTCGAGACAAAGATAATTATGAAAATCATAGACATTCTAGAGAAGATTATAATCGAGATCGAAATAGTGAACGTAATCGTGATCGAAGCCGAGATCGAGATCGAGATCGCAATCGTGATCGTTATTATTATGATGATAGAAATAATAAAAAAGATCTTTCTTATAAGAGACATTATGATTTTGATGAATCCAATAAAGAAATACAATCACATGATCGACATAAATTAAAGAAAACAAGAGATTATGAAAAGGAAAATAGAAAAAAGATAGAAGAAAGTAAAATTACAAATAAAGAAATGGAAAATAAAAAAGAAACAAATGCTTCTGATGCAGCGATTGAAAGACAAAATAGAACTGTTGAATTATTAACATCAAGAACAGGTGGTGCATATATACCACCTGCAAAATTACGTTTAATGCAGGCAGAAATAACTGACAAATCAGGAGCTGCATATCAACGTATTGCATGGGAAGCTCTTAAAAAATCTATACATGGTTACATTAATAAAGTTAATGTCAGTAATATTGGACTTATAACTCGAGAACTTTTAAAAGAAAATATTGTTAGAGGTAGAGGATTACTTGCTAGATCTATCATACAAGCACAAGCAGCATCACCTACATTTACATCTGTTTATGCAGCTCTCACAGCAATTATTAATTCTAAATTTCCAAATATTGGAGAATTAATATTGAAACGTCTTATAATACAATTCAAACGTGGTTTTAGAAGAAATGATAAACCTCTTTGCATATCTTCTGGAACATTTATAGCACACTTAGTAAATCAAAGAGTAGCTCATGAGATTGTAGCGTTAGAAATTTTAACTTTATTAGTGGAAACACCAACAGATGATTCTGTAGAAGTTGCAATTGCATTTTTAAAAGAATGTGGAATGAAATTGACGGAAGTTTCAAGAAAGGGTATTGAAGCTATATTTGAAATGTTACGAAATATATTACATGAAGGACAATTAGATAAACGAGTTCAATACATGATTGAAGTAATGTTTCAAGTGCGGAAAGATGGATTTAAAGACCATGAAGCTGTTGCAGAAGAACTTGATCTTGTGGAAGAAGAAAATCAATTTACTCATTTAATAACATTAGATGAAGCAACAGATTCTCAAGATATATTGAATGTTTTTAAATTTGATGGAGAATATATAAATAATGAAGATAAATACAAACAATTGAGTAAAGAAATATTAGGTTCAGATATTAGTGATTCAGAAAATGAAGAAGAAGATGATGAAGAAGAAAGTTCTGATGAAGATAGTAGTACTGCTGCAACAGAAGGGAAAGAAGGTGTAATTGTAGATAACACTGAAACAAACTTAACAGCTTTAAGACGTACAATATATTTAACCATACATTCCTCGCTTGATTTCGAAGAATGTGCACATAAATTAATGAAAATGCAATTAAAACCTGGTCAGGAAACTGAACTTTGTCATATGTTCCTAGATTGTTGTGCAGAAATGAGAACATATGAAAAATTTTTTGGACTGTTAGCTGGCCGTTTTTGCGCAATTAATAAGATATATGTTACACCATTCGAGCAAATTTTTCAAGATTCATATCATACAATACATAGATTAGATACAAATAAATTACGAAATGTGTCAAAATTTTTTGCTCATTTATTATTTACTGATTCTATATCATGGGAAGTATTATCTTGTATAAAACTAACTGAAGAAGATACAACAAGTTCTAATAGAATATTTATTAAAATTTTATTTCAAGAGCTTTCTGAATACATGGGATTATCTAAACTTAATCAACGAGTGAAAGATATTACATTACAACATGCATTTGAAGGATTATTTCCTAGAGATGATCCTAAAAATACTCGTTTTGCGATAAATTTTTTCACATCTATTGGGTTAGGTGGTCTTACTGATGATTTAAGAGAGCATTTAAAATCTCATCCAAAACCTATTATAATACCTACATTAGAACATAAAAGTGAAAGTGCTTCACATTCTTCACTAGATTCTTCTTCTTCTAGTTCAAGTACATCATCTTCATCCTCTTCAAGTAGTTCTGATTCTGATGATTCTGATGAGTCTTCAGATGAGAAATTAAAAAAAGAAAAAAAAAAGTTGAATAAAGAACGAAAAAAGAAAAAAATGACAAAAGAAAATAAAAAAAAATATAAGAAGAAAGAAAAATCTAAAAAAGTAAAAAAACTCAAATAGAATTTATATAAACAATAATTGTTATTATCTTTTATAGATTCATATTATTATTTTGAATGACATGCTAGAAATCAGCATGTATTATGTGGTATTATATGGTTCTGAAAAAAACAGTGTTAATATAAGGAATATAGAGACTAGAAAGATTTGTATATAAATAAAAAAAGTAAGAAAAAAATATCATAAGAATGAAATAAAATTCTTAGAAATATTAAAATATAATTTAAAAAATACATATATATATATATATATATAAATTTATGTATATATGTATATATATTTTTTCATCTATATTATATAATTTATTTTAAAAAAATTAGTATTTTGAATATTAAAAATAAGTGTGTATAAAAATCTATTATAAATATATTTAATTTGCTATTTTGATACAATTTTACTATTGTAAGTATACCTTTTATAATACTTAAATATATGAGAAACTTATAAATAAAAAATTATTTATGTTATATAAATGATTTTAATACATAAATAAAGTTTATTGAAATTATAAATAAAAAAATTATTTTTAACATTATGTTTAATTTAAAATCAAATAAATAATATCTATTTTAAAATAAACAATTATTAGTAAAATTTCATAATTTCAATGATTTCTAAAAGTTATTTTCTATAACTATATTTTGTTTCTTAAAATAATTGTTTCAATTTCTTCATATATTAACAAAAAAATAATATTTATGCCAATATATTTTATATAAAATGTAATTTTATTTTATTTAAACATATGATTTATGTAAACTTATTAAATCTGTATTATAAAAAAACTTTTATTTTTTACACAAAAAATAAACTATTATTGACATAATGAAATCATAATGTATATGTACAACACGTGTTAAGTTTGCCCTGACAATGAACGCGGAATAAAAGCACTTCTGTCCATGTGGGTGTAGTAACATGTAGGCTATTTTGACGGGGGGGATCACGTGATTAAATACTTAGCCGTCGCCACCCCGCCATCACGGCTGTCGTCCGATCAACCGATACTATGCCACAACCCATAGATACGCAGACAGAACCATTTCACATCCTTTGGAAGCGAACGCGATTAACCGAGCTGATCTGTAACGTGCATACATATATACATGTATATATCATACACTGGTTTGATAGATAGGAAAGTACGATAGATACGAAACTGCTAACGTGGTAGGCACACAGCACGGTAGGAGGCCGAGCGTTATGCTGGCTTGGTGGAAAAAGCGGTGTTAGTAAAGAATATAGTGAACTTCGCTTGACGACATGATACTTGTGAAAGAGTATCAGAATTCGTGTAAAGTTTATGATAATTGTACGTAGTTAAGCAAAAATATGAGTGCTCAAGACAATTATATACACAAGCATACATATATAAAATTGTATGTAATTAAGAGTACAATGCTCTGTATGGTTATAAAAGTACACAATGATACGCGTATACTCCTTTAAGAGTCTTATGCTATCTTCTTGTGTTTACATACGCGTACAGTTATAGTGTACGTGTATAGGTGTATAAAAAAAAAAAAGAAGCAAGGTGGAGTATTTGTACCACAAAAAAAGACATACTGTAGGAGGGTGGGAAGGAGAGCGGGAGTGAGGGAGGGATAGAGAATACACGCATGCAATCGACGAGAACGTCTTGTCATGAGAAGTGCGAGTATAAACATTAACATTGAATTGAACTAACGTATCGTCAACGAATGATTGCAGTGCATATAATTAACATTGGTTTGACATTGTTTGCAATTGACATTGTATGATGCCATGAAAAATAATATCTTTTTGAGTGGTTCTTCATTTCTCACTCCGTGTGCGATCAATATTACTCGGTTGTGGTATACTGAGTCGATCCATTGTCTAACAGTGTCACTCATCATGGTGATAATATTCATCAATCGAACGTATTATCAATTTTATTACTGCAACAAATAGCATTAATAACATAAGTTATTGATTTATTGTTGGTGATCGTCATAGTGAACGACGGTAACGACGACAGTGTAGTGACAGTGGCGACGACGGTGGCGGTGACTGTGACGGTGGCGGCAGCGACAGTGGTGGTAGAAATAGCTGTGGCGGTGGCGGTCGAATGGCGGTCGCGGTAGCGATCGTGATAGCGATTGTAGCGACGATAGAAACGATAATATCAAAGACAGTGAGGATAGAAACGAACAATAGTGATAACCAAATTCACGAAACAATGAATATGCATTATTTGAGGAAATATATAACTCGTATTAAAATAATATGAAAGATGAAAAAATATGCAAATGAAATCAGCAAAAGGTAGAGAAAGAAAAAGCAATCGCGAATAATCGTGTTTCGTTCAAAGTGTTTATAAAGAATTTTTAAGAAAACGAATAAAGTGTGATAAATGGAAAATTGAATAAGAATAAGATATCTTAATTATATAAACTTATTCAAAGTGGCATAAACTCGTTCAAGAACGAATTATCATGTACATGGAAGCAACATTGCAATGGACAATAGATTGCGGATAATAGTCAAATCGTTGAGTTGAATATAATATTACAGCAAGGGGAATAGACATAGAAAAAGACACATGAACGGGTTAAGCTTGCTCTCGATTCGCGTGCTAAAAGAGAACGCATTGGCTAAAATGAACACTTTATACTTTTCCTTACTTAGTGCTATTTTTCTCTTATATATCAGAAATATGTGCTAAATGAACAATACTTCGATTAAGAGTGGCAAAGTGAACGCATGTAAGTTTCTTATATTGTGGATGTAAATACATCTGTATTATGAATTGTACAAAATAGCGTAGTATGTTACAAGTTGTCTCGAAAATTTCATACAACGATCGAATCTGTTTTATTCTCTTGACTCTTTTCATATACTATAAAAATAATGGAGACATTATTACCCGGCAATACGAACAATCAATCGTATAGCCCGCAATTGAAGACCGTCTTAAAGACATATCAATTATCAGCTGTGAAAAGTTTACAGGGTCCGAGTTCGGCCCTGCTTGGTATGGACTGCAAAAGTCTATTACAAGAACAAACACCTTGTTACTCTCCTTCAAACCGGTCGAGTAATTGTGCCATTGATTCAGTATCAGAGCAGATTTCAATAAAAGATCCTGAAAAGGATAATAATTCATCTATAGCACCCATCAGGCCTTGTAAAATACGCAGAACGGATCAACCGCTGGAAGATTCAGATGAAGATCCGCAATTGGAACGGTCGAAAAACATTTGCGAAAAGAGAGAATTAGAATTTCAAATACCTATCTTAACAGCACCTGACCAAAGTTGTTCTGAAAGATGTGAAACAATTTTAGAAGGCGAAAGAATATCATGTTTTGTTGTAGGGGGCGAAAGGAGGTTATGTTTACCACAAATATTAAATACGGTCTTGCAAGAATTTTCCCTTCATCAAATTAATCAAGTTTGCGATGAATTACAAATTTATTGCTCACGATGTACACGAGATCAGTTAGAGGAACTTAAGCATTCAGGAATTCTGCCGCGCAATGCTCCTTCCTGTGGCCTTATCACTCAAACAGATGCTGAAAGACTTGTCAGTGCTTTACTTTTACGGACAGAATCATGTGATCCTTCTCAAATTGGTCAAACCCAAGATAATATTGAAAAGAAAGTGTGCACTAAAAATGATAATGATGAAGAATCTATTGTCAAATTTAAGGTGTATCATGAGTGTTTTGGAAAATGTAAAGGCATTTTTGATCCAAGTTTATTTGAATCTGATGATTCGGTATGCATAGAATGCATTGAATGTGGTTGTCAATTTTCACCTCAACGTTTCGTTAGACATGCTCATAGATCTCTTGAAAATCGTACCTGTCATTGGGGCTTTGATTCTGCAAATTGGCGATCATATCTATTACTTTCACGAGATCAAGAACACTATAATAAATCACTTACTTTATTTCGAGAATTGAAAGAAAAACATCTTAGATTGAGTTCCAAGCGAAAATCAGAGGTATTCTCATATTATTTTCATACTAAAATTATTAAAAAAATTTTCTATATTTTTTATGGATTATTTATTGATAATTAAAAATTTACAAATAATATAATTGGGAAAAGTAAAAGTTTTATATGTTAAATATAAACTAATATCATGTATAATTCTATAATATTATTATTATTATAATATTTATGTATTGAAAAATAAAACAAAAACAAATAAAGCACTTTTTTCTGCAGCATGATTCAGAAAAATTAAAACGAATTAAGAAAGATATAGGAAGAGAAGATTGCCCTGCAATTTATAATGGAAATGGCTTAGGCATATATCATCCTGTATCACAAGTAGCTAATGCAACTGATCCATATCTACAAATGTCATGGGCAGTTTTTGAATTAGCAGCTAGAGGAGCATCAGCTTTTAGACCATGGAATACTACAAATACATGCAAGCATAAAGATAAGTAAGTATACTAAATAAATACATTTAGATTTATAAACAAAATTTTTTTTTATTTATTGACATTTTATATATGTCTATTACTTTTTATAACAGTTCATCATTAGTGCCTGCATATCTTAGTCGTGGTCCACCTGTACTACAACATCCAGAACATGTGGTTCCTCTTTCTGAATGTAAACGTTTTGAACCACATTTTCAACCAAATGTAGCCTTAGCACCTATACCTGCACCATCTGTGCCTGTAGTACTTCCACCATCTGCTCATCATCAGCGGCGACATCATCATGAACATAAACGTTATAATCAACATTCATCAAGTTCTAATGAGAAGAAAGATATTTTATCAGATAATATCAAATCTGAGAAAACATCTCCTAGTTCTGGATCTAGTATTGGCGTATATTCTGCATTCCCTTCTTATGAGTCTGGAAATAATCAAAAAGAACTGCCTCATAAACCTAAACAAGAAATTGGTGAAGAAGAAGAAAGTAGTGCTGCTGTAACATCTTCTACAATAAATATAGAACCACCTTTGGCTGAAATTGGAACTTCTTCGCTAGAAAGTGATTCTGATTCTGAAGGAACAGCAGCAATAGATTTAGAAGAAAGGTTGTTAGCCTTGGAAGTACCACAAGATGTTCTGGAGTTAGCACGGCGTATAGTTTCAGAAAATGCACAATTACGACGCCATCGACGTTCAGACGCACGCGAAATATTACGATTACGTAATCAATTGCAAATGCAACAAATACAATCATCTAATGATGGTGATAAAAAGGAGGAACCAGTGAACGCAGCAAGTGCAGCAGATAGCACAGAAGGTAGTGAAGAAACAGAAGCTATATTGCCATCAAATAATAAAGAGTCTGAACCTGTTGTTCTAGCTGTTAGTAAAGAATAAAATTAGTGATTAGAGTTTTTTAAATTATTTAATACAAAACTGCTCAGCAATTTTTTGCAATGCTCATCTTTTATCAGATAAGCATGCATTAAATTTAATAATAGCTATAATGATAATGATAAATTCTAAATAAATAAAAACTGTTTAGGTTATGTGATAAATAGAAAGCCTTTAACGTTGTAATCATTAATTTGAAATTTTTATTGTAATCATATTTCGATTATAACGATTTTAATTAAAATCGAATGTAGATATTGTAATATATAGAAAAATAACATAAGTTAATTAAAATTTATCATGCCATTTAATAACTATACTTAATGGTTTTTAAATAAGTTTTTGTGTATATTAAATATGCACACATCACAAAGATTTTTATGATCATTTGTTTAATTGCTAAATTAAACAGCGATCAGAAAATAAGAGATTAGATTGCTTTCCATTTACTTTTTTTTATAGTTATGATTGCATAATGTAAATATGATCCAAGTATCATAGATGTATGTTTATATTGATAATATTATCATGCAAAATATTGCTAAAGTACAAAAAATCTTTAGGTGCTATATTATTATATTAGGAATGTTCTAAACAGAAATCTAGGTGTATTTCAGCAGTTCGTATTACACCATAATATCAGAAATCTCGATTATATTTTAGTTATGGTCTTTATAGCGTTAAATAATGAAATTTTATTTTTCGCTAATAAACTTAATTTGAGTGATTAAAAATAAAATACGTTAATTATTTATATATTTCAAAATCATTAAATTATATTTAAATAATATTATAATAAATCATTGAAATTTAATTTATATGGAAGATTATTAATTTTTTTATATGTTGAATATTTTTCGTTATCATATAATATGAAATTAATTCTAAATTCTTAAACATAGATTCATTACATTATGAATTGTTAAATGAAAACGAATATTATTATAAAAAAAAATATATGAAATCATGTGATTGTTTTTTTTTTTTTTTTTTTTTTTTTTTTTGGTATGAATTATTTGTAACATTGTATCTACATATCATTTTAGTTAAATATAAAATTTAAAAATTTTGACCCTATGGGTTTTGGAAAATTAAATGTGATTTATTAAAAATATTTTTACATCAAAAATTAATTTGTATGAAGATAATATAATTAATATTTATAGAAAATTTTGTTTCTAAAATGAAATTATAAGCACAAGTGATTTTTATTAAATGTTATTTTCATTTCTGCTCATTGTAGTAGCATGTATATGCAATAATAGAAGCAACACTTTTTTCCAAATATCCTTAAAAAAACCAATACTGATTTAGAGATATACCTAGATATATATTAGACATCTAAGCATGAAAGAACATGAGTATGAAATATAAAGATATAAAAAATATATATATTTATATATGTTTTCAACATATATTTTTTAATCTTATTAATTTTTTCTTAAACGTTTGTGTATTCCTTTATTTTCTTAAATTTTCTTCATTATCTTATTTGTTTCACATAATTCAAAATTTCTGACATTTGCATAATATTTGAATATAAATTCTCAAATTTGAATCGAAATTTAAAAATTTCAAGATATAGTTATTCGTATCATATATAAAATGTAAATTTGTTTTTTTAAATTTATAGTTAAATATTTCGAACATATAAAATATTGAAAAAATTAAATATAGAAAGGTTGTTTTATAAGCTTTAAAAGCTTTTTGTATCAAGTATATATTAGAACAATATAATATAAATCTTAAACATATTTACATATGACGTAGCAAAAAAATATTAATTATACAGTTGTGTATTTAAAATATACGTATACACATATTTCGAGACTGTTTCTAAGATCTCGTATCACATACATTTTTCTAACATAATAAGAGTGCCAGTAATTCTTGTATCATAAAGCACAAGGCGTAAAATATTTCCATTTTCAATTTTATTATTCATATCGCTCGCTTTTTAAATACAAGTAAATCATAAATTTTCAAAGCAATCTGTTAGAGAAAAAATTGATAAAGGTGTATAATATAATTGATTATGTAGGATAAATACATTCATTATTATACTCCATATAACACTTGGTCAATATATATGACATGTATGTTACATCGTATTGTTGTAATAATATAAGCATCCCACCTAAGGTGAACAATGTAATAATTTATGATTTTCATATACTCAGTTTATTATGGGTATCTACAATATGTGGTAAATAGTACACGTATAAATCGCATACAATTTAGTTTTTTTGCATATATTTGAGATCTGCGTATAAAGTTTCGATAAGATCATGTAACTGCCATGACTAAAGATTATTTTAATTTTGAATTGTGTGTGTGTGGGTGATGTATTTTAAGTTAAAATGGGAAATTACAAATAAATACATAATATGCGACGCCTGACTTTATTAACATTTATGCACGATACGCAACGCGTTAATGTGGATTTCGTTCGTTCGAATAAATATTATTCTGCCAATTGGCTCTTAATTGATTAGGGTGATTTATAAAAATGAAATGTTATCAGAGTATTCATAAATAAGAAATATCGTTATTGTTATGATATATTTAGTTCAATTTTAAAAAATGAAACGCGTGCGCGAATAGTAGTTAGAATAATTATTGCATTATTCTACGCATACGCTCAATATTTTATGCGATATTGTATTCAATATGCGTATATTAATGCATTAATATTTTCAAAACTTGTTCGATTTTCATTTCAAATATTAGGCTATAATAGAATTCTGTGCTCACATTAGACATAGAAGTATGAAATATTAATCGAACGAGTTTCAATATCTTGTTTTGTCTTTATCCATGAATCGGAATCCAAGAAAATAAACTATTGAGTGATATAAATAAAGCGTTCATTATGTAAAATATTCAAACGCAATAAAATATTATATTCACTGCAAATTATTTCATAGAATTAAACAATCTTATACGTGATATTTATATAGAGTATGTGTAAAATATTGCTTCATGGATGAATTTAATAATAATAACTATTTAATATGTTTATTGATCTTGATAAAATATATAAGTAGGTACACATTTTTTCAAATATAATAGAATGTTTTATTTCAAATTGACTTCGATATCACGATAGATTTGTTTCATCAATGAGATAAATAATAACTAAAAACTATTGATTATTTTAATGAATTAATAATAATATGAAAAAAATTTGTATTTGTATGGGGACGTGGTATGTATTATGCTAGTAAAATGTCCCGAGATTCGGGTGTAAATTATCTCGTGCATGTTCTATCAATAGTTTATTTTCTTAACTTATTACTCTTCAATAGATGACATAATAGATTTAGAATAAATGTGTTTCGTATACTACATAATTAATAAATATTTTTAAGAAATTAAATACATAAAAGAAGTGCAATATGAAAGTACAAAATTTAATGTTTCATTTGAATTTTATATATTTTACATCAAAGAAAAAAATTAAAAAGAAAGAATATATGGATGTCTTTTCCAATATTCTAAATTTTCTTAACTATAAGACTTTCGAAAATGTTTTACTATCAAAATCTTTACTATATGTAAGACCATGTCCCTGATGACGTACTTATATAGCGTTGAACTTTTGAATAATATTATCTACTGATAAAAAAAAAGCGATTTAGAACCATTTAACGTTATACAATTTTCTAATCACTTTAACGTTATTCTGAATTTTGTATAATCGAATTTCTGTATTCGAACGACGAATTCCATATTCTTATGAATCGATATTTAATGATGGATATGAAGTAGATCCAGTAGTGATCTGATTTTTGGCATAATTGTAGGGTAAATGTACATATAATTATTTTCCAAAAAAAATACTCATTGTTAAATGTATATGAAGCGAAATTGTTATAGATAAGGCTATTATCGTCATTTATATTAATTGAGATAATAAACGACGTTTCGATTAAATAAAATTTTTTCATGTTAATGCTTTGATTTTTTTTTTTTTAATTTATTCATTACATATATTTCTATATAGCATATAAATTTATCTAAAAAATAATAAAACAATTTTTTTTATGGATATTTCATTTTGATTAATTAGATGATATTTATTAATTATCTATTATAGTTTATTTTAGAAAATACTTATTGCAGATAAATTTTGGAATTATATATTATTTTATTATATATATTATTATTCACATAATTATTTTAATTTGTTTTTTAATATGAAAAACTGCAATATTAAATATCTATTTTATTTAAAAATTTATTATATATATCTATATACTTAAAAATGATAAATATTAATTTAAATTTTTTACTGTTTTTAAATATCGGTAAAAAAAAATTGAATAACAAATTGTTTAATTTTTAATACAATGTTATAAATATAAATAATATGAATCTAATAAAATGTATTAAACTAAAAAATATATATTATTAAAATTTTTAATTGTACAAAAATAAACATTGCAATATAATATAAAATTTTATACTAAAAAAAATATATTTTCATTTAATATGGCATCATAAATTTAATAATAACATATAATAACATAAACATAACATATAATAATAAATGCAATTATATACATAATTATATACACATATATTAATTTCAAATGTATTTACCAAATAATATTTTTATATATTTAATAATCCATAATAATCTATTGAGTGTAAACAATAAATATTTATATGTTCAAATCATTACTAACATTATAATTAATTTGTTAGTAATAATATAAATCATAATTATAACTATAATTTTCTTCTTTTTAACTTCTTCATAAAAATATATATTTTTAATAATGTATATATGTATATTTATAAATGAATATTTTCATTTGACATACTGTTATAAAATATAGCTGAAGCGCCGTCTACCTGTTGCATTTACGACTACAAATATCTATATTTCAGTTTCATCAAAAATCCTTCAGGAGAACGAAGGACTAATTGGATTTCTGCTTCGAGATTTTACCGTTATGTCCTTATTGTATATATATTCATACTTGTAAATATTAAAATGTATTAAATATTAATTTTAATTTTAAGGTATGAGAAGATTTCATAATTTTTAGGATGTTTAATATGCCTCTGCTTGTTATGCGTTGCTCTAGTAATATTTCAGTAATCTTAACGATTCATGTTCTGGAAATGTAATTTTGCTAAGCTTTAAAAAATCAGAATGGCTTTTTTGTGTCCAGTTCGTATACGACGAGGAAAGAAAAAGAAACGTAAGTAATAAAATATTAAATTGAATAGAAGAAAAACTTTTC